TTCTTTCAGTATCAACAGCTGAGGCATGGACCCTAGACATTTCAGCAGCTAACTCCATTGTATAATAATGAGCCACCAGCTGACTGTCTCAGTTTAGTATTCTTCTGGCTACATGTTATAAATGCTGACTGTGTCCCAAAAGTAGCAACCTGGGTTACAGATCAGAGCCTCTGTCACCAAAATAGCCACCAACCCAATCTCCGATTACATAAGGAATGTTTCAAAGGGTATTCTTTTATGCTTCACAGTTAATTGGGTGTAGCCAAACATATGAAGTCATTTTAGAACAATGACAGATCAAAATGTAAAATAATTGCTTCTGATATGAGGGGGCAAGGTGGAAAGTGAGCCAGGTTGGAAACGCAAAACCTCTACAGGGAGTTCTGACATGGACCATCTTGATGACTATGGGTTTCCAGTGACTGGAGGCCCCGTGTGAGCCATATGAGCCCTATCAAAATCCTAGAGCAATCCGAGATGCACGCCTAGGAAGTCCAGGTTGCTCAGTTAGCACCTCCACATACGAACAGCAATACAGCAAAAGTTGCAGACATTTCAACAACTGAAAGGGATACGATGGGGAAGATCAAACAAACCTTTTCTGACACTGAAATTCTGTAAACCAATGTGACTCTATGGTCCAGAATAAAGGGGAAAGGATGGTCCTACATGTGTCCTGCATGGATAAAAACACATCTAGACACTGTGTTCACATGTGAATCACATATTTTATAAGGGTTCCTGACAAATGGACAAAATCCAAAGAAGGCGAACCCTCCAGTGAAGCACATCGCATGAAGAACACACAAAAGGCTTCATGTTTGCTTTAAAATGGAGTTTCGGAGACAAAATATTTACCTACAAATATTTTATAGCTGTCCTTAAAAGTGTAAAAACTGCCTGGTACTCAATACCCCAGCTCCAATCCAAAACACAATCAATCATTCATCTATTCAGCAATCATTTATTCTGCATCTCCTTAGAGTGAGGCCCTGTGTTAAGTGGGTATCTAGGGTGCACAGATAAGTAATGAAGAGTCTAGAGGCAGAGCAGGTTAAACAAGCACACAACCAACCAAGTAATCACAATATGGGGAGAGTATGGGAGGCATCCTGTGAGCAGAACAAAGCTTACTTTGGAATTCAGAGTCAGGAGTCATCACATCCCTCCCACTAGCAAGATCAGAAATGACACCATGAAGGAGATGGCACTGCGTTGGGTTTCAAAGATGTTTTTACTGGTTCTGTGAGGAGAAATACACTAAAGACTTACTCTGTGATAACCTACCCTGGGCGAGCACCACTGACTCCATCTTAGCTGTAAACTCCAGCCTAGCTTCCCCCTCCCTACCACAGCCCCTCTGAGTGCGTAACTGGGTCATGCGGCACTTAGAAGCCTTGAAGCATGCTGTTCCTCACGCCTGTAACCGCTATAACCGAATTCTACTTGGCATACCCCACTCCCTGATATTGTAAGAAAACAATTTCCCTTTGATTATTGTGTAGAAGGAGCCTGAACACCCCCCTTCTTGGTGACACCTGTGCCCGCAGCCCCTTTCTCTAACCTGCTTTTCTGCTTCTGTAAAATTCCGCTTCAGCTAGGCTCCCCCTCCCCTACCTAAATCAAGGTATAAAAGATAATCAAGCCCCTTCCTTGGGGGCCGAGAGAATTTTGAGCATTAGCCGTCTCTCGGTTGCTGTCTAATTTAAAAAGGACTCTCAATTTGGAACTCAGTGTGTGGCACATTCCTTCTAACTCGCTCGGTCACAACAAGTTCAGGTGGAGAGGAAAAGAAGTGCAAATACTCAGAGATGAGAAAAGAGCTAGAAAGCATAAAGGGAGAGAGCCAAAGAACTGAAGAGTTCAAGCTGACCAACAATAGGCACAGACATCTCAGGTATTCGGCGATAAGGCTAGAACTTTATAGGCCAAACAGTGAAGACCTTGCATCTCAGGCAGCGGAGAATGGCGAGGTGCAGGTATTATTAAAGGCTTTGGCATACAGAGTGCTGTGTTTGACTTGTAGTATAGATCAGAGGCAGACACAGAGAGACAGGAGGTTTGCACATGGCTAGTTAGAAGGAAATGAAGTCCCGAAGCAGGAAAGAGGCAGGTAGTGGTGGAAATGGACAGGAGGAAAGAACGCTGTGAGGTATTTCAGAAACTGAATCAACAGCACCCAAGACATTTATGGAAATATGGGAGTGGGTAGGGAGGGATGACTGAATGATCAAGTCTAAGGGATGTGGAAAGAGCAGAAACGCCTGCTGGAGGAGAAACTGACTCAGGGTCAGAGGAGCCCGTGAACACGGAAAACAGTGTGGCTACCCTGGCAAGTGGCTAGGACAGAACCAGGAGAATGTTCTAACCCAAAGCCTTGCTGCAAGCACTTCTTAAACCTTCCCCAAATCATGATCACCTCCTCAGAAACTACTTGATAAGGAAATATCTGAAATGAACAGGCAAGCATAGAGCCAATCCACCCTTGAGAAGCTCCCTGGCTACTCAAGGCGACCCTCCAAGAGGCAGAGGCTGTTGCAGGGTTAGAGAAATGCCCCTTCCACCTTGAGATCCCCCAACAGGACATATGAAGAACTTCCTTCCGGCCTGAGCCTGCCACTCACTCCCCCTGAAACCTTAAAAGTTGATCCTCTCCGAGTCAACTCCTTCATTTATAAGACCTGTTAATAATGAGTTGTAAGATCTGATTTCATTTGTAAGATCTGATAAGAGATAATGAGTACTCCACCCATTTCACAGGTTTTAGTAGATTAAGTATGAGGAGACAGAATGTTGCAAAGCACATGAAACCAAGGGTCATTAGAAGTTGAGAGCAGAAACTACGGCAAATTCATGTGTGTATTCTGCATGGAACTGCCTACAGAAGGAGGGAGGGAGCAAGGTAGGCAAGAAAACAGCACAGCCTGGGCACCACGGGCAGCTAAGCGTGAGTCAAGGAATACTGCCTGCCAGATTTCAAGAACAGCCTGCTCCAGGGAAGTGGCAGGGTCCTTTAAAATCATCCAGGTCAACCTCCTTGTTTAACACATGGGAGGCTTCACCCCAAGGGAGGCCCAGTAACCAACAAAGATCTTAGTGCGTGACAGAGGGACCAGGGCTATGTCCAAAAACCAGAATGTCTGTACAATCACAGTGTACACAGTATTTCTACCCATAGTATTTCACTTATCTTCACCAGTAGCCTTTGAGCTGGGTAGGGAAGTATTACTAAAATTCCTGTTTTTCAACCTGAGGTTGAATGACTTGTCCGGGGAAGGATTCGAATCCAGGTGGTCATGCCCCCAGCCCACTGCTCTTTCCCTATACCACAGTCGCTCACACGTGCTGGGTTTCAGCACAATCATTCCAGCTTTCATCATATTTCAAATTCCAAATTCAGTTTCATTAGAAGTTCTTAGCTGGACACGGTGGCTCACGCCTGTAATTCCAACATTTTGGGAGCCCGAGGTGGGCGGATCACCTGAGGTCAGGAGTTTGAGACCAGCCTGACCAACATGGTGAAACCCTGTCTCTACTAAAAATACAAAAATAGCCGGGCATGGTGGTGCTTGCCTGTAATCCCAGCTAATTGGGAGGCTGAGGCAAGAGAATCACTTGAACCCGGGAGGTGGAGGTTGCAGTGAGCCGAGATCGTGCCACTGCACTCCAGCCTGGGCGACAAGAGCGAAACCGCATTTCAAAAAAAAAAAAAAAAGTTTTTTTTCCTCTTACTTCTCACTGCCTTCAGCCATATTTCACATTCAGCTTTACCTGGTAGGATCTGACTGGCCTTTTGTCTTAAAAGTTCAGTGTCCACATTTGGCACTAGAAACTTTTTTCTAAAACTGAATGATCAAAACTGGGACTTCCCATATAAACTATCTTCACAAAGTATGTCCTCACAAGTGTATCATTTGAGATGTGCATGATTATGAAGCAACTTTTTTTTTTTTTTTTTTTTGAGACAGAGTTTCACTCTTGTTGCTCAGGCTGGAGTGCAGTGGCGTGATCTTGGCTCACTGCAGCCTCCGCCTCTCGGGTTCAAGCGATTCTCCTGCCTCAGCCACCCGAGTTGCTGGGGCTACAGGCATGCGCCACTACGCCCGGCCATGGAGCAACACTTAACACGCAGATACCAAGAAAGCAGCTTTAACAAATGTGTAGAAAATGAAGGCAAATAGTTCATGGCTTTATCAATAAAAGCTGATTTGCATTCACGGGAGGACCTCTAAGTGCAGTCAGCAAGAGGGAAAATGATCCCCATAATTCCGGTCACCCACATCCAAAGGCTCTGAAACTGAATGTACGTCTTTATTGAGGGAGGTCCAGGGAAGGCGTAGGGGAGGAAAGTGCTAAGAAAAAGCTGATTGGGAACTCTCTGGATGTCCTCTCCCCTTAGTCTGTGGGGCCTGATGGTCCATCACAACCCTTATTTCAGGAGTAAGGAACACATGTTTTGCTCCTCTTTTCAACTCAGGGAAGAGGATTAAAATTGCTCAGCCTCTCTGGCTTGCAGAGGTTTCTCAAGGGGATCATCAGGGGCGTCCTGACCCCTCCAGGCCGCACAGTAACAGGCCTGGGGCCCGGCTGCGCAGGGCCCTCCCATGAAACCTGCCTCTCCCTGCACTTTCTCATACACAAGCCGTCAGTGGCGTGGCAGTCATTTCTACCGAATGCACCGGTATTCGTTCCTCTTATGTCCTCTCCTTTCTCAGTAACCCCAAAACCGGAACGTAACTTCCCACTCCCGCCACTCCCGAGCTAAGCAGCTGACGGATGCTAACAGCCCAGCAGCCCTGGGCTTGGGGCTCAGCGGACTCGGCAACCACCTGGCGATAGCGCCTGCCTCGGACCCCCAACCCCCACCAGTGGCGCGCCCCAGGATGCCCCTCACTGGGCGCCGCAGGCTTGACCCAGAGCGGCGAGGCCCAGACACAGCCCAGAGACCAGGTCCCCACCCGCCACGCATACAACGCAGGAAAAATGAAAGCTTCGTTTACCGACATGCGTGGTCACTGCGGCCAGTCGCCGGCTGAGCTCCTGGGGTGGCATTTCTTCTCTTAAGCAAGACCGCACGTCACTGAAAATCCACTCCGTACAAACAACGCCAAACTGTGTCTGCCGCTGCGGTGGTGATGTTTTCACGGCATCCCCGCCCGAGGATGCTCCGCCCGCGCCCTCTTCCTGCCTCTCCAGGCGCGAAACGAGTCCCTCGCCGCCGAGCCCAGCTCTCCCACGCCACGCCACGCGCGGGCTCCCGTGACAGACCGAGTCTGACGCTTTCCTAGCGTCCCAGCTGGACCGGGAGGGGAGCGACCGCTCTGCAAAACGATGCGAGTTGCCACTCTGGCCAGGCGAGCGCCGCAGACTCTAGATTCGCGGTCCCGGCCGCTGGGTCTCCGGCGCCGCCTCCCAGGACTGGGGGGTGAGGGAGGGCCCGCAGCGCGCAGGGACGGCGGCCGGTGGTAGCGGCTCCTCGGCGCCGCCCGTCCCACGCCCCACGCCCCCCACGCTCCACGCCCCGGCGCCGCCCGCCCCACGCCCGCACGCCCGCACGCCCGCACGCCCCATGGCCCCCACGCCCCGGCGCAGCACGCCCCACGCCCCCCACGCCCCGGCGCAGCTCGCGCCACGCCCCCCGACGCCCCACGCCCTTCACGCCCTACGCCCCTCACGCCCTACGCTCCACGCCCCGGCGCCGCCCGCCCCACGCCCGCACGCCCCACGGCCCCCACGCTCCGGCGCAGCACGCCCCACGCCCCGCACGCCCCGGCGCAGCACGCCCCACGCCCCCCGCCCCCCGCCCCCCACGCCCCGGCGCAGCTCGCGCCACGCCCCCCGACGCCCCAAGCCCTCCACGCCCTGCACGCCCCACGCCCCCCACGCCCCACGCTCCCCACGCCCAGGCACCGCCCGTCCCACGCCCTCCACGCCCCGCACGCCCCACGCCCCCCGCCCCCCGACGCCCCACGGGGGCCTCCCGACACCCGACGCCCCACGCCCCCGCGCCCACCTCTTCCCGCCCGCGGGGGCAGCTGGGGGCTCTCGCGGAGGCGCGCACGCGCCCAAGGGCCTCCCGTTTCCCTGCGGGGAGCCCGCGCTCCAGTCCCCGGGGTGGGGGCTACTCACGGTCCTTCCTCGGAACTGTGGGGCGGGGAGGCAGCTACGGAGGCGCTCCAGCCGCACCGGGGTTGGGATCCCCAGACGCGCGCCGGCCGGGTCTCATCCCCTCCTTCTTCCCTGCGCGGCGTCTGCGGAAGAGTCACGGAGAGAAGCGGACTGACCCTGAGAGGTGCTGCCATCCCGCAGGACCCGGGGCGCGAGGCTGGGTGAGGCCCCGCTGCAGGCCCCAGCTCCTGACCCGGGCGCGGCTGGCGTGTGTTTCCCGCCCCCCCCCCCCCCCCCGGGGTGTGCCCGGGGGTTTTTTGCCCCCCCCCCCCCCCCACTGGGGTTGTCCCATGCGGTTCTTGGCCTCCGCTGGCCGCACCTGCGCTGGAGCCCGGCGCGCGGGCTGCGCTCCGACAAAGCTGGGCACGCTTGGGCGCTGTCGGCTCCCCTGCGCGGGCCTCTTCCTTGGTGCAGCTGCGCCCTTGCCACCGCTCCGTCTATTACCAGTTGGGCGCGCCAGTGCTACCTTCTGGAGAGGCTGTAGCGCATCCTCCATGCCGGTCCTCCTCCCCATTAGCCCATTATCCCGTGGTTTCCCTAGGTGGGCCCAGACACTTTCTGACTGGTAGCAAAAGACTAACCCCAGTTCAGCAGAGCTCCACGGGAAACGCCTGAGCAAATGCGAATTCGGTCAGGTTGTCCCCCAATCCTTTCTACAGCTGGAGTCCCTGAATACTCAGCCGGCAGAGTGCTGGGACCACCCATGCGGATGTTCTCAGCCATCTCTTTCCTCTTCTATATGTAAAAAGCCAAGCTGTGAACACCCTGGATCCAATTTCTAGGAGTAGCCACCCATCCCAGGGGGTTGAGGACATTTTTTAATGCTTTCTGTAACAAGTGTGGGCTATGGTTGAGAAATGACGTTTATCTGTGACATGAGATTTGTAGAAAGGTTCTTCCCCCTGTGAAGTTGTGCACTTTGCATTCTGCCTGCAAAGCAGAGTAAGGATTTTTTCTTTCCTTTTTTTATTTTTTTTAGAGATGGGGTTTCACCATGTTGCCGAGGCTGGTCTCGAACTCCTGGGCTAAGCGACCCGTCTGCTTCTGCCTCCCAGAGTGCTGAGATGACCTGCGTGAGCCATCATCCCCAGCCACAGAGCAACCATTTTCACAGCCACGTTTTGCAACAGATTCAAAAAAGGGTTAGAAGGCCGGATGTGGTGGCCCACCCCTGTAATCTCAGCACTTTGGGAGGCTTAGGTGCGCGAATCCCAAGGTCAGGAGTTGAACACCAGCCTGGCCAACACAGTGTAACACCGTCTCTACTAAAAATACAAAAATTAGCTGGGTATGGTGGCACGCACCTGTAATCCCAGCTACTCGGGAGGCTGAGGCAGGAGAACGGCTTGAATGGGAGGCAGAGGTTGCAGTGAGCCAAAATCGGGCCATTGCACTCCAGCCTGGCAACAGAGTGAGACTCCATCTCAGAAAAAAAGGGTTAAAGAACCACAGGAGGGGAGGCAGCTTTCGAATTATATTTCCATGGTGGTTTCTGGCTATTCAAGGATCACAAGTATTTTCAAGCAACCAAATGACATGTTTCCTATTGAGAGTAGTCAGAACCTGGTGCCCAGTCAGAGCCAATTGTGAGTTTTGGTCAGCAGAAACCAACACCTTGTAAAGATGACAATGACGTGGGATACGCTGGGCTGGGAGTATCAGAGCCACTTCGAAGATCCGGTAACCTCAGCTTCCTGGCCTAGGCCAGGTCCTTATGGATGAGAATCATGAAAAGAAAGAAGAGAAGGAATGGAGAAAAGAACAGAGGGAAGAGGAGCTTACAAATAAGAATGAGAACAAAAAGAGATAAAAAGGAAATAAATCACACCCAGAGTGCTGGTCACATCTTTGGTACTTTCACAGTCTTCAAAGGTTTCCATGTCAGATAACTGAGTTCATGTTATGCTGAGATGTAGCAGGCAGTGCCTATCCTTGGAAACTAATTCTGCTGTAATCTCTAACACTTGCTCTCTCAGGGCCTTCACTGCTTCCCCTGGGCAGTAAGAGGGTAGCTCTGTGACCTCCAACTTCCATTTTCCAGCTCTGAAATCCTATAAGTAGAATTAAGAAGAAATGACCAGCTGGGTGCAATGGCTCATGCCTGTAATCCCAGCACTTTGGGAGGCCAAGGAGGGTGGATCACCTGAGGTCAGGAGTTTGAAACCAGCCTGGCCAACATGGCGAAACCCTGTCGTTACTAAAAATACAAAAATTAGCCAAGTGCGGTGGTGGGCACCTATAATCACAACTACTTGGGAGGCTGAGGCAGGAGAATTGCTTGAACCCGGGAGGCAGAGGATGCAGTGAGCTGAGATCAGCCATTGCACTCCAGCCTGGGCAACAGAGTGAGACTCCATCTCAAAAAAAAAAAAAAAAAAGAAGAAATGACCACATAGTGTTCAATAGCCCAAACCTTCCTTGTTCTTCCAAGAAAATGGTCATTGTCTCTTTCTTTTGTGAATACTGACATCCTTTCTGTCTTCTTCCTTTCCACCCTCCCACCTTCCCTGCCTGCTTTTCTCCTTCCTAATTATGATCTCTTATATTATGCCTATTTTTTTTTTTTTTTTTGAGTCGGAGTTTCGCTCTTGTTACCCAGGCTGGAGTGCAATGGCACGATCTCGGCTCACTGCAACCTCCGCCTCCTGGGTTCAGGCAATTCTCCTGCCTCAGCCTCCTGAGTAGCTGGGATTACAGGCACGCACCACCATGCCCAGCTAATTTTTTGTAGTTTTAGTAGAGACGGGGTTTCACCGCGTTGACCAGGATGGTCTCGATCTCTTGACCTCGTGATCCACCCGCCTCGGCCTCCCAAAGTGCTGGGATTACAGGCGTGAGCCACCGCGCCCGGCTATATTATGCCTATTTGTGCTGTGGTTTGAACGTGTTCCCGAAAGTTCATGTGTTGGATCCTCAATGCAACAGCATTGAGAAAGAGGACCTTTAAGAGGCAATTAGGTCATGAGGGCTCCACCCTCATGAATGGATTATGCCATTATCTAGAAATAATCCTGGCGAGAGCCTGATAAAAGGATGCGTTTGGTCCCCTTTTCTCTTCCTGTCACCCCTGTGATGCCTTCCACCATGTTATGATGCAGCATGAAGGCTCTCACCAGGTGCAGCCCCTCAATCTTAGAACTCCCAACCCCTAAACCATGAGCCAAAGCAATTTCTGTTCACTATCAATTGCCCAATCCATGGTTTTCTGTTACAGCAGCACAAAATACACTAAGACATCTTGGCTGGCAAAATCAGAGAAACAAGCTGGAAAAGGCTGCTTCCTTCTCCAGTGAACCAATTAACAATCACTCCTATCTACTGAACATCTGTTATGGTTGTGATAGGCAGTATCAGGTACAGCAACTACCACCGCCATATAGCAAGTGACTGTTGGTCTAGCATGGCGTTAGACATTTTACGAACACCGTTGACGCCTCACAACAGCACCCTGCCTCATTTGCAGGTGCCACTGTAAAGGACCAAACTGTGTAGTAAAAACCTAGACCATTCTCTGCCTTCCAGAAAGAACTGCCCAAGCTCCACCTCCCTGTAGGTGCCACCTCCCCATGGGTGAACGGTCAGTGCAGCCTCTGACAAAGGAATGACAAAGGACCTACCTTGGATAGCAGTGGCTGGCCCTCCAGCCTCCTCAGCTCCTGGTGCCACAGGTGAGGGTGGAGATTCCTGGGCACCAGGAAGGCCCCCAGTTTTACCTACATCTGCGGTTCTTAAACTAGCAGCATCACGTGGGAATAGAAGTCATTTTTACTAAAACACAGATTTCTGGGCCCCACCTCCAGGATTCTGATTTAGTAGCCTGGAATGGTACTCAAGAATCTTCATTTCTAACAAGTCCCCAGGAAAACTGATGGTACTGAAGTCCTGGGATTACCCTTTGAGCACCACTGGCCTAGACTATAGCTCTTCAAACTTAGATTGCAAATCTTAGTATGATTGTGTTATGGGGATTGCAAATCTTAGTATGATTGTGCTGTGGGGAAGAGATTTGGTCTTTGCCCCAAGGTCCTGGCATACAGCTCCTAAAGCTCAGGAATTTCCTGACTGATAGTGTGATAAGAGTGTCTTTTGTTCTAATGAAGAGACTCTTAGCAGATCCCTAGATAGCTTCAGAACACAGCCTGGTCACCAGAAAGACTAAGCCTTTGTAGAAGGTTGGAACTCTCGGCCTTATCCCCTAGCCTCTAGGAAGGGGAAAAGTGCTGGAGGTTAACAACAAGGGCCAACGATTTAATCAATCGTGCTTACAGAGCAGAGCCTCCGTAAAAATCCCTAAATGAGGCCAGACACGTGGCTCACGCCTATAA